TTCTTCTTCTTCTTCTTCTTCTTCTTCTTCTTCTTCTTCTTCTTCTTTTCCTACTAGCTATAATATTAGATTGTAAATTTTGACACAAGCTACAGATCCTGATCAGGGAACAAGTTCCCAAACTCAGAACTACTGAAAGAGAAACAGGAATTTTCTAATGACACAGTTGGAAGTAATTTAAGTCAATGGATAAATTGGAAGAGTCAAATGGGCTTTTAGAGGAATTTAGCTTTAATGGAGCAGCAGGGGGTGGAGATGGAGAAAGAAATTTACCTGGGGGCAAATCTCTTACACACTCTATTTTTCAAAGCAAATATAGGTGGTGTTCTGCCTGTTACAGGGAAAGGTTGCAGAGATGTACAAAGTAGAGTTTAATTGCATGAATTACTTCCCTGAGTTCCTGGAGGGAAATGAGGAATTTAAGTCTCTAGTTTAATATAGAAAAAGGTCAAACTTCAAACGAGTTTCAAATTTTGTAAAATATTAACCATTTGAAAAATAATAGCAGAGCAGGGGAGGGATTTATCTAAATGTTAATTTACCCACATTTCTTAGAGCACCCCACTTCTGGCAATTAATAAAGATGAGACTTTTGTGTTTATCCAAAATCCTGACCATATTAGTAAAAACGTGACACATCAAAGTGTAACTGGAAAATCTTTTAAGTTCACTTTGGCTTATGCCCTTAAGTCCTATTCGGACATGATCACTAACCTTCTATGTAAGATCCCACATTCCATGGCTTGTATAGTTTGAAGGAAGAAGGACAGACATTCAGTATGTAAAATATTGAGTCTGTTGTTCTGATCTCTAAAGCTGGACCCTAAAGAAGCCTGTAAAGTAGAATATTGTGATAAAAATACTTCCTACTTATGTTGTTCCATCTATGCCACATCTATCCCTAATACACCTCCCCGAGTCTCGTGTCCTTTGCTGGTTTATATTATATAGATAAGAGTCATGTTGCATAGCATAAGCCTTTGCAGGAATAATTGGGAGGAACAAAGAAAATGGCATTTATATACAGCTAGCGGCCGAGAAGATGGTTCAGTGGGTAAAGTATGTGCTAAGCAAGCGTGGACGTCTCACTTTCACCCCTAGCGTGTAATTCCAGAATGGAAGAACTAGAGGCTGGAAGACCTCCAAGGCCAAATCAATGAGCTTTGGGTTCAATGAGAGACCCTGTCTCAAAAATGAAATGGAGAACAACCGAGAAAGATGGTCAACAGCTGTCTCTGACCGCTTAATATGTGTACACACATGTACACCTGCAAAAACATGAAAACACATGCACACAAAGAAAGACAAAATCAAACCAGCCAGTTCTTCAAATATTATGTTACTATCATTTCTGTTTTCCTGGCACCTTCAAATGATATTGAAAATATATGATTTGTCTGTGTTCATTCATAGTGTGGATGGTGTGTATCTCTTTAAATCTGAACCTTGGGTGTCTTTACTCCTTCTCTCCTTTTGCTAAATTACAACATAATAAAGCTGAATCTTTGGTAGATATGCACAGCAAGATGTATAGATACTGAGGAATAGCAGCCAAATCTTTTAGGAAGAACACACATAAAATGTAGAATTCAAGTGCCCTGAGATCCTAAGTCAGGCATGAAACCTCGCAGAGAACTAAGAAAAAGAGATGTCACCAGCTGTAAAGAAACTGGTTGTATCAGCGAGCTCACACTTATCTTTTTGAGCTATTTCCTCATTGTTTCACCTGTGAGCTGATGGTGAAGGCTTGAGCTCAGGAGTTAGCCTACCACTCCTCTCTCTCATCTTATCTTAACCTTACTGGCTGCATATGAACACAGGCAAGTTAAACAGAGCCTGGAGTCTCACCTCCTCATACAAAATGCATAACTGATAATAGCAACCGTGTCATAGAAATGTGAGGATTAGCAAATCCAGCGAAGTCTTTGCACAATGTCTGACAGAAGACAATAGTTTACATTTATGTGGTGCTGGCCGTGTTTATTCTCAACAGGGACATTACAGATACAGAGCTGGCCCTCTGTGCCTTCTAAAGGTACTTCCTGAAATCAATGCACCCAGGAAGTGGATGCTGAGAGATGAAGGAGCCCAGCGGCAGCTGCAGAGAACAGCGGAGGCACCCACTTTAGCTCATCTTGTAGCATTCATATATAGCTTCCGCACATGTTATCAGCTTAGCACGGAATATTCCAAAGACGGGAGCCAGAAAGAACATGACTTTGAGAGATTCCTTAATAATCTGTAACATCCCTCTTCAAACTGAAAGATGCAGGTGAATGATGGCGTGTTCAGAAAGACATAGTCCTTAAATCACAGCACCAGTCCCTTAGATTCCTCTAAACATTCTTCTTAAATACAACTCCTTTCAAAAGTGGGTTTCTTATTTCTAGGATTTATGGATATAGCTTTCACTGCTACACTTTAGTTTCTAGGAAACTGCATCATAAATAAGTAAATGAAGCCCACATGTTCCTGAATTTTCGTTTTGGTAAAAATTTGATGTCAACTTCCCACCGCCCCTCCCCTCCCCCAATTTCCTCATGCATGAAATTAACAGTTACTCAAAAAAAGTAAAACTCAGGCCAGAACGCTGGCACAGAGGTCTTTATTATCATGATATGGGTAGATGGTATGTATTTAAGAAATAGATACGGTTTATGTCAGAAACGCTCCTGTGTTTACCGAACCCCAAATCTGTCTTCACTACTGTTGGATAAGTAGCACAGGCACCACACTCAACTTTCAGCGAGCAGACACAGGATGAAGCAGTTGCCTTAGCCCAGGATCTCCCTGGCTGCCCCGCAGGCAGCCTCATTACCTGCTAAGTGGTACCTCCAGGTCAGCGAGGTACAACTCCTGAAATACGGCGAATCTACTAATGAGGACGATATTAGATGCTCAGAAAAAGCCGCGTTTGAGGAAAGGTTTCTCCTTAGCCTTACTAAAGCCTTAGTTTTACTAAGACTTCTTTCCTCAGCTAAGGGGAAGCAAGGCGGAAGGATCAGTTTCTGATGTTTGTTTGAGTTTTGTCTTCTATCAGTCTGGAAAACTTAAGAGAAAGGAGAATAACATTCCAGGTCCTCATTGTTTTTCCTGTTTCAGTGGACATTAAGCATTTACTTTCTTTTGAAGATTGCAAATACGCTTTTCTCAAATACGCACATGGACCGGAGTTTTCCAAATAAGAGTATTCTTCAGGTGCGGTGTGTCCACCTCTTCTCTTTTTCTCCTTCATCTTTCTCCTTCTCCCAGGGCCTCTTTTCTACTTTGTACTGCCTGGGATATGATCCTTTGTTGCTGATGACAACCAAGTCCAAGTTTTTTTTTTTTTTTCACTCTCTTGTCAAAATTGGATCTCTTTAATTAAAAAAAAAATATCATTCTCATATGATGAGCCATTAATCACACAAGAAGGTGCACAGAGAAATGGATACTTATTAGATAAAATGGAGAGAAGGGTCGTGTTGGATTATTTTCAATATTGGACAGAATTTATTTTATTATTTTATATCCATCATTTCTAATAAAATACCTTTTATTGACACAGTGGGACAATTTGTCCTTTCATTTATTCCTCCTCATTATAGCTGGATCATGATACCCCTCCTCCAATCTCAGGTCTTTCTGGCCATTCTCATCATTTTTTTTTCTTTGACATCCTTCATTTCTACCCCATCTCGCTTTCATTGGGCCCTTCGATGCCCCCATCTTTCTTTTTCTTTTTTAAATAAGGCTTAACATACTGTTTTATTTATTTATTAGAATGTCTACGTTTACCGAGGTATATTTGGCAAATAAAGTTGTGTTTTAGTATGTGCAATGTAATGACTTAATCTGCATAAAGCAAGTGAAGTGTTTACTAGTGCAAGTTTGTCACTGTATCCATCACCTCCCTCCATCACCTTTTTAGTGTTAGTTGTGTGAAGAGAGCACAAACACAGACTTATCCACTTTGCTCATTGACTATAGTTGCTAAAACATTTTCCTCCCCAAAATGTGTCAAAATATCGCTATAAACTAAATTTCAAATTTAAAAATACTTTGATATTCTGTCATCTATAAAGTCTAACATTGTTTTACAAATATTTCTTCAGACATCCTATTCTCCTCTGTCCCTGCCTTTCTCTTATCCCCCTGCACTGAGGAGTGACTCTTTAAACTACTCTGTGGCTCAGGAGCATATCATAAACACTTTTTCACATGATACTTAACTGACTGTATATTGATTTCAGATGGTTGTCCAAGACCATTAAAGGAATGTACATTAATTAGGCTCTGTTTGGGTATAGATCGGTTTAATTTTTCCCATTAATTATTGTATGTTAATAACATCTTACCAATTCCTAATTATGAAATGAGTAGACAGATTATCCTATACAAGGGAAGCATGGTGACAGCTTCTGACTCTACACAATTACAAATTAAATGTTAAGAATTCTGCTGGTTTGTTTTAATTCCCTGGGAAATAATTTTATACATTTAAAACCATAAATGTCAGGAATTAAATAGCTGTTAACTGGTTTTGGCGATACTTTGCCTATGTTTTTGGCAAGAACATAAAGGTGAAGTTCACTGTGTAGAATAACTCTTAACATTTAATCAGAGAAGAAAAAGAAAGTCTAGAATATCATCATTAAAATTGTGCTTTAATATTTTTGAGAACCCAGTTTACTCATTCATTCATTTATTCATTCATTCATTCAACAAAAATGTTAGTTATCTACCTGGGCCAGGAACATAGCTGATTCTGGCACTGTCAGAATAAATAGTCTGTCCTTAACGTGGACAAGGGTGGCTGCTTGGGAAACTGTTAGAGGTATAATAAGAGGAAAGTCTCTTGGGTTCAGATCCACTGTGCATCCTAAGCTGAAAAGTCCCAAGACATTATGCTCACATAGACAAATATATGTTAGAAGCCAACACTTCAGGGTAGGTTAAAACTCTCTCCTCATTATCTAGCTGGAAATCAGGGAGGAAGTCCAAGAATAATACTGGGTAGAGTTGGTCCTGATGGTGAAGAATTAGATCTCAAACAAAGCACTTCTTACCCTTTCCTGAGTCAAATTCAGCACTATAATGGCCTACTGGATGATGCCAGGATGAAATTCAGCATGATCATAACCCTCTAGATGACTTCATCATGAAGATGTCTTACTTTATTGTTCCTGCACAGCAATGTGTGTTCATTCTTACCAAAGTACAGAGAACAGAAGTGGGACTTTGACTGTGCAGGGGTTTTACCTAAATTCTCAGGCTTGATTCTCTCTAAGAGCAGTCTTAATGTGGGAGAGACTTGATCTGGGGCAGAGCCTGGGTTTCTATACTTCTTACATTCTGGTAGTTCATGCCAGCACTGCAGGTTTGTAGATCACATTTCTCTGACAGGGACCTAAGACATCCTTGTGCTCATAGGGCTTTGCCTTTTGTAACTTTGTCTGTTTGTTTGCAGCTGTGGTGATGGTCCTGAATAGCGTGAGTGTCAGCTGGAGTGCCCGGATCCAGATTTTCCTAACCTTTTGCAAGCTCACAGCAATTCTGATAATTATAGTCCCTGGAGTTATACAGCTAATTAAAGGTATGGACTGAAAAAGGAAATGTGTTTTAAACTGTGTATCTGCTTCTGGTCTCTTCTAACACTGACTTTCGCTTGTCTAGCAGAATCCTTAATTAGTCTTTGCTTGTGGAACTTAAACTCTGTACTGTCATCTAATTGATTTGAAAGGCTACACTAAGGATGAGTTGGTATTTATAGTTGAACGGCAGCAAGAGAATTAAAACTGGACCAAGCAACAAAATTAAGGTGTCTGAGAATTCTCTTGGTGTAAATTGCTTGGAGTCAAAACCAGAGTGAAAAACAAAAACAAAATGATAACAGAAACAAAATTGATCTGCTATTTAGCTTTAAGTATAGATCAGTATATCCTTTATTTGCACTACAGAACTTTTTGATAATGGCAACAAATATGAAAGATAAGAATATTTCTGGAAAATAATGAAAGACTGTAATTCTTTATTTTTTATTTGCATTTCCTTATTCTGAGGTTAGTACCCACAGAAGAGCTGTGAGGTTTAGAGACATCATTACTGAAAACAGGATCTTTATGTGACAATAAAAACTGTTGCAAAAACTAGATACCTTATATTCTATGTAAAACTTGCATTTACTTAGATTTAGTGGAAATGGTTGGAAGAGAAAGAAGGCCCAACAGGTTACTGAAGTTGCAACCAGAAATAATGAGAAATGATTAGAGTGAATCAATTGGAAAGAGGTGAAATATGATGTGGGTGTGTTTAGTATTTATTGTTTACATTGACATTGTCAGTTCCAAGAAAAGAAATTTGTAGAGAAATTTAATGTCCCCGCAGGAAGAGAGTTACAACAAAAGAAAGTGACAAAGTTCAGCCAAACTATTGCCTTTCATAGAGGCCCAAAGAAACAACGTTGAGAATCTGGTCACTCCAGTTGGTAGAGGGAACTGCTCCTGTCCATTTAATCAGCCTCGTGGGTGATCTTAAAGTCATGCCTGTAAAATGCTTTCATCAACTCCAGCAACCTCGGCCCCAGAATAAACACAATGAAGGATCTGAACAGTAGAGTTTGTGTAAGCAGCAATGTGGGTTTGCTGTTCCAGTTCACCAAGGCCTCTGCAGAGCAAGCTTGCTCACATTCCACCATGACTGGAGGCAAAATTGTCCATATTCTCCACGCACTCATCTTTTAATTTTCTAAGTGTCCTGTAGGGAGCTTTTCAGTTTGTGGAAAGGAGAGGAAGGTGAGTCACTTGCCCTTCTAGACATGGTTGTTTTCTTTCTTTTCCTTTTGTTGTGTAATGCCAGATATGATAGGTAGTTATACTCTGTAGTTGGTTCTGACTCTTCATTTATGTATGTGTGCAAAGTGGGGCGTGGTTAGCAGTTGATATTGTATTGCAGATTCTTTGAGAGCAGAGACCATGCTGAAACTCCTAACCTTTCCAGTCAGTTACAATACAGTGATATTTTAATATTGCTCATGGTATCAAGAATTCATAGGACCACTCTAATTCTTGCTTCTCACCCAACATAGAAATTCCCTGAGGATATTCCTGTATTTGGAGCATATTTTGGTACTTTGTCATATTTTCTTTATTACTATGAAATTGAGATTCTTAAATTTGTAACAGGATCATTAAGTTTTTCCACATTTCTCTCAGACTCAGAAAGAAAAAGGCTGCTCTGATGTGTGTGTGTGATGTGCTTATTTCCACTCTAAACAGTTGCTGAGTTAGCTGGATGTTGTGAATTCACTTATGAGGCCTGGAACTTCCATCTGAATACATTACTTTCATCTTCCCAAGGCCTGTGTTATGCATCCAAAATCCTCCTGAAGTTCAGAAACAATGTTCCTCTTGCAACACTCTCAAAGTGGCTCATTTGAAGAATTTTTTGAAGAGGCTCAGTCTACACAGTTTAGATCTCTTCTTTTATCAATTACTAATTGCAATACTCTAAAGGATATTTACCTTATGATCTGTGGCTAAGGAGACCACAGATCATAAAAGAATTACTCAATAGATATTTCTTTCTTTTAAAAATTATTTTTAATTGTTTACATGTGTGTGTGTGTGTGTGTGTGTGTGTGTGTGTGTGCATATTTGTGTCTCCACAAGTGGTTGTGTGCACATGTGCACAGGTGCCCACAGAGGCCACAGGAAGCATCAGATGCCCTGAAGTTGGAGTAACAGGTGCTTGTAACTGCCTGTCACAAGTTCTGAGAACTGAATTCAGGTTCTCCCCAAGACTACCACACGATTGAGCTGCTGAGCGACCTCTCCAGTTCAAAGAGATGTTTCTTTTCTGGATCTCAGTGTGTATATTTTCCTTCCATTAAAGCATAGAGATGTTTTAGTAAAGTAGGTATTTCTGACTCCTCCTGTCAAGTTTTTATAAAACTGTATTTAGAAGTTGGCTGTTTTGAGAAAAATATCGTTCATTGATTGACAGAACCATGTCCTCATTGGTCTCATCCTCACATTCTGTCACTGTGAATGCGGGGTCTCAGGTGTGAGCCATACCTGATATTTGATTTACAAGATAGTGTTAGTGTCATGTACCTCCTGCCCTCCTGACCTTTTTTATTTCCTATATAAAGGCCATTTTTTAAACAGGATCATTTTCTATTTGAGTACTCTCATTTGGGGAATAGGACAGAAAAACACTATTTTTTTTAAAATTTTTGTCTAATTTTTAATCTGTGCTGACTATCACAAATCTTTAACCTCTTAAACCACCCAAAAGATTAAAAGAAAAAGGATCCTAACTGTTGGCAAATGGACAAAAATGTTGATTCCAAAGTTGGTAAAACTTGGTTTGGGGTTTTATATAATTTCTTGTTCATTTTAACAGAGAAAACATGGTGGCATGGACCAAGACAGGGTCAATAAGTTATCTCTGTAAAGAAAGCCCTAAGGTGAAATGGCTCTTCACAGTTAAGCACACTCTGCTGCTGCTTGACATCAGCCACAGACATCTGCTCTGAGTGGGCGTGGCTATGCTCCAGGGAGCTTTGATATGAACAATCCTTGTGTGTTTCCTTGGTGGATTTTGTCTTCAGCCTGTCTCTGTTTGAGGAGGCAGGTGTGGAATGCAGTGCAGGGATAAACAGCAGGATGTTAAGAGCAGTGGGGTTTTAAGGGGTGTGGGGAGGCAGTGCAGGAGTTTCTTGATGCCTCCTCCCTCAAGGTAGGCTCTGACATTTCTTTCCATTCCTCGCCAAGTCATACGTTATATTCTAAGAATTTTGTCAAACTCTTAAAACTTCAGTTTATGGAATATGTTTCAGTCCACTTTAATGGTTAAAAAAGAGGGTGCTCAAGTAAGCAAAATGGAATTAACCTATTTTAAATGTCACCTTAATACTGTTTCTCATCTACAAAAGAATTTTTAAATGGTCTAGGTGACAAAAAGTGTGCATTTGGGATCCCTGCCCTAGATTAGATACAGTATTAGTAAACAGAGTTGACCATGAACAAAGAACGGGTCAAACAGGATAGCTCAGCTCACAGCCATGAATAGGACTGCAATAAACAATATAACCAATTCTTTGCAAAGTTCTAAAAGTCTTCCTGTTCTAATTGCAGGGCACACACAAAATTTTAAAGATGCATTTTCAGGAAGAGATACAAATCTAATGGGGTTGCCCTTGGCTTTTTATTATGGGATGTATGCATATGCTGGCTGGTAAGTTGATATCTCCAGATACTTGTATTAAAGAACTTCATTTACCTTTTGTCTTGTTAAGCTATTTTGTATCGTGAGTTTTGACCCTTTTGATGGGTTAAGGAACACATCACACATTTCTTCCTCAACTAGATTTTCATTATGTCACATACACAGCGATTATTTAATCTAAGTTTCAAGTAGCATGGAATTCTCAGAAATGAAGACCTATAAACCCAGGAAAAAGTTATTATTATTATTTTTTTTTTTGCCAAAAGATATAATGCAATGGAAATGGAGAGGAGGAAACTAAGTGAAGTCTATTTGCTCAGATTCTTCTTGGCTTCTTTGTATAACACTGCTTCCTCCTGGGGATAGGATAGAACCTCTCTCCCCAGAGACTCTCACAGTGTGTTGTGAGACAAGGTAGAATTGTATAGTTACCTTCCACAGAGAGGTGGGAGACAGTGGAGACATATTTCTTGATGGTACAGTTGGCTTTCGGGAGCTCAGTTCTAGTTTCTAGGAGACACTCAGGGGAAGACAGTTTCAACAGATTCTCGTTTCTGCAACTTACCTTGGAAGGGAAGAAAGAGAAGCATGAAGGAAAGATGAGAAGATCATAGAAAGCTGTCCTTCTTGTGAGGTACTTTCAATTTCCATCACCGTGGCAAAGCCTGCAACTTATAGTGCCGTTTTCTGAGATTCCCAAACAGTCAAGGTTGCTATTAGTTTGAGTCCAGTGGCATAAAAATGAACAAATAAGTGCTGGGTTTTAACGGCCAATATAAATTACCTCCAATTAGTCATCAGTGAGGACAGAATAGTACCATGGGGTACTTGGGATTAGTGCGTGCCTTATCAAGAGGCCTTTGTGCTAGAGTACTAAGGAGATTTATAAATAGAGGTTAATGAATTTTTTTTCCTACCCTGTCACGAGGAAGAAACAATTCAGATGTAGAAATGAGATGATCTCAGGAGATTAAAATGGCTCATATGTTTGAGGCAGGAAAAGCAGAAGTCACAATAATAAGCGTCAGCTGGTCAAATAGTATGCAGCATATTTGAGGGCCTTTACACATTTCATTAAGATGTTTCCCGCAGTTGAAAAAAAGATGGTTAGCAAATATGAGTGGCACTATGATACCATGGGTGCTTTTATTTCCTTCCTGCTTGTCTGTCTGTGACTCCTCCTGCCCTGCTGCAGCAGTGTTTTGTGTTGGGGAGCATGAGTCACAGTAATTAAATATGAAGAGGAACTTCCTGTAACTATTTTATTGACCTTGTGAGCTCTAGTTGAAACAACTATTTCAACAAAACCCAGTAGGTACAGCAATGTTATTGTGACATTAGAATCATCGCAGAAAGATTAATTTTTATGGTTATAGGATAGAGATAGTGGTTCTTTTTCCATATTTATAAAACCAGTAGTTAACAAGATGGCAACACTCTGAGAGCCTACAAATGCCATCAAGAAACCTTGCTATCTCAAAAATTATGAAAATATGTATACAACATGAACAAAATTTTCTCTTCTTTCTCCCCACACCCACTGCCTATTTTTGATTACCTTCCAGGGAATATTAAAAAAATGCATTCCAAAATAAACAGTGTGTGCCCTATTGATCTCACAAATTGCGAAAATATGGCATTAGAAGAAAATCAGCAGAGTTCAGCAACATGGGTTTAGCATAGCTTTGAAGCAAAATGTGTTTGAAGGCTGTTAGGTTATAACATAAGAAGATCAGCATAAAATATTTGTATACCCGCAGAAGATTTTTTGCAGCCATTGTGTGCATGCCTTGGTTTTGAACCTCAGTGTTTTTGAAGTCCTTTCCCTTTTGTCCAAAGCACAATGCGGTGCTAAGCAGAGAAAAGAACTGAGTGTGATCACAGCGTTAGAAGCAGAATCAACTCTTCTATGCCTATTGAGCCTGGATCAGGGCTCCATGCCCTGGGGCAGCAGCCAAGCCACTGTGAGGGTCCCTGGGAGCCCCAGAGAAAAGTAGGGGAGGGAAGGAGAGCTTTCAGCTCCAGCTGGGTGCTGGGAGCCTGTTGTACTCTTTCAAGAATGTGGAGTGTGGTGCTCTTTCCAAGGCAGGTTTGATTAATTCTGTTGAATGGTCCCTTTTGCCTGTGAGCAGTCCACGTTGGTTCCCACGGAATCATAAAACAGTTCCACCCTCACTCCACCACCTCCCAGCACTGGATATTCAGGTCACCTGCTCCGTGTACAGCCAATTTTCTTCACTTCTGTGGATTTTTCCATGGATAAAGACCCTTTTCATCTTGACTTCTTAGTAATATTGCATTTTACTGATGCTGAGTAGAAAGTGCTGCTGTTTCCACCAATAACCAAGATTTGCAGAGAACTTTACTTATTATACTCTTGTCTACAACATCCTTGTGTCTCCACCCCCAGTGTGGAGGGCCAGGAACCATCGATTTCTTTGTGTTCTTGAGGGTTCAGTCATAGCATTGGAAAGTAAGTTTAGGATTTTAAATGAGATGTTATCTGACCCAAATGCCTTAGCTGGAGGATGATAAAGAACTACGTAGATGTAATGGGTTGTTTTTCTGGCTGAATGCTGCTCTGTGAAGAGGCGAGATGATCGGGTTATTGATCCATGGCCCTTAGTTCTAGAAAAAAGAAGCAGAATTAGAAGAGTCTGTGGGTTTGGCATTCCAGAGATACAGACATTATTGCTATGTAAATGGATCAAAATGGAGTCTGAAATGAGTCTCAAAGACAGGAGCATTATGAGAACAACTTTTGCTATCTGAATCCTCCATCTCTTACCATATGATTGCAAAACTGGCCTGCACACATAAATCAAGACTTAAAGTGGTTACCACTCCTTTCATTGCTGTAGGACAATATTTGACTTAAAAAATGTGGAGGCATCGTAATGAGATGAAAGGAAAGCAGTTATGATCAGGAACTGCTGGCCAGGCTGCTAACTGTTTGGACAGGCAGCATGCTAGCCCTCTGTTGTCCTGGATACCTTGCTCTAAGAGCAGTCACCTCCAGCTGCGAGGCGGAATAGGAAAAAGATTCCACCAACCCTTGGGGATCCTGCATGGAGTAAAGCTTTGGCTTTGCGGAGTGCAGAACCTATCCACATTGATGAAAATCCCTTCACAGAAACATGATTAGGGGAAAAGAAATCATTAACTCAGTCAGGTCATGAAGTCAGGTCAGCACAACTTTAATATTATTGCCAATGTCTGTATTCAGAGAGACACATCTGCCAGTCCGCCTGTGGCCTTGGGGAGTCAACCAATTTCAATCTTGTATCTGCGTCCAAAGCTAAGCATAGCATGGAGAGATTTTTTTTTCCCCTCTCTTTTCAGTGTGTGATAGAAAATTGGTTTTCAGTGTCTTTTGTCGCCCTCTTTAATCGGATCCTCAATGGATTTAGTCTCCCTGAAGCATCAGCCAGGATTATTGTACACCTTTGTGTCAAATATCACCTAAAGAATCTGCTTCCTTTAAAAGTCATGTACAAGGTTGGGTATTACAATTCAGGGCCAACCATTGAATTTTATGCACAGTCATAGGAAATCTGGGACAATAGATGTTATAAGTATTCTTCAGGGGCCTTGAGAAGTAAACCAGGGGAGGGAGACTGCTGTGGCCTACATACTAGAGAGCCGATAGCATCAAGGTGTATTTCCCACAGTGTGTGGACTTTTTGCATGGAAATGATCTGCTTTCCTCCTCTTTTCCCCAAGCTGTACCCAAACACTTTCCTTTCCTCTGTTCCCTAGGACCATGGAAAAATATTTGATGTCACATTCTTTTTCTCAGATAGTTTCCCTCCTGCCTTAAAGTTGTTGGAAAAGACCAGTTTATCAACTATTAAGAAGCAACTGGCTGTCTCCGACATATGTGACCTAGCACTATTCCTTAATTCACGTGATTTATTCAGTTTGGGGAGGGGTTACTTATATATTTGCTTGTTTGTTTTTATTTGGTTCCTGTACTGCCTGTTGCCTGGGGCTTGCAACTAGCATGTCAAATCAGTCTCAAACAGCCCCATCTCTGGTACACCCAGAGCAGGCAGTACTCGCTCATCGACAGTCCACACTTAAAATTCTGCCAGCCAGTCTTGCATTATTTTGTGGAAGATAGAACATGCACATAACAAAGGTCTCACTGGCCGTTTCTTCTCCTAGAATAACCACATTATATGCGTTCTCTTATATGTGTGTTCCCCTAGAGTAACAGCAGCCACTGTTTTTAGAAATTTAACTTCCTAGTTTTTAAAATTCACCATTGGCTATATGTATGTGCATACACTTATTGCTGTTTCCTCTTCAGTCATCAATATGAATTTGTAACTTAGTCCTTAAAGCTGTAGCCACCTTATTCTTGAACATTGACTCACTAGTGAATCCAGAAAGGATTGTCATGAGCATGGGGCAGGACAAGCCTTTTTCCCTTTTTTGTAAGCTGTGACACACTTTAAACACATGGCAGATGATTGGCTAGTGTTCTGCACATTTGGTTTTAGATAGAGTAGAATTTGTTGTACCATGTGCCAAACAAGAGGTTCTCTTATCATCTAAGGAAGAATAAGAGAACAGTACAGTGCATGACTTTCATTCTGTGGAAGTTCCCTGAGCTGATGGGATGAAGAGACAGCAAGTTCCTTGTTACGTTCAGCTGTTCTTACATAGAGTTTTCATGTCCTCATTGTTGTTGTCTGGGCCCCTTTTCTTATTTGAGAGTGGAATTTCCTTCAACCCTTACTTTGAGGAGACTAGGAAGAACTTAGTAAGCCCTAAAGGGTCTCCAACAGCCCCTTTTAGTTGGAAAACAACATCAGGGGCACGCTTAGCCATCCCTGTAGCATGATAGAAACTCACTGTGAAGGAGAGCAATCAGAAGGTCTCAGGCCCTGACACTAGGATAAGATTTTAAGATCCCGTGGACCTTGAAAGTGAAATCTTTTGTGCCTAAAGTGCTTCTTTTCACATGTCATTCCCAGAAAATAATTATGGACCTGGGAAATGTTCAAAATTTCCTACTTTTTTTTTTCTGTTCCTGATTGTCAGTGTAGTGAGTGACAATATGCATTCAGCTGCCTGAGTACTCTCTCGACCTCCCTTCCTCCACAAGCTTGTGAATCGGGCTAGGTAGGATAAACACTGGCAGCGACTCTAAAGGAAGATGTGTGAGTGGTAGGATCAATCTTCTTATTTTAATTTAAAACTGTAAATTGAAGAATTGTATATGCCTCTGAGATATACAAATTAGGTTATGGTTTATAAATAGAACATGAAATAATTAAATCAAAGTGATTGCCAGTTCTATAACCTAATACAGTTTTTAGTTTTCTGTATTAGAACATTTGAAGTGTACTCTTTTGGAAAATTCGGAACACATAATAAACTATCATTTCTACAGTCCCTTTCTCTAAGTTTAGATTCACAGGAAGCATGGGCCATCACATTCTTAATTTCCCTCCCACACTGCTTCAGACTTGTATGGCAGAACACTGTATCCTCCCTCCTTTCCCTGTGCGTAACCACAGCTTGCACTTTTGTGCTTTGGGACAACCTTAACCTGGAATGGGCTTCATAAAAGCTTACTAGGGTAGATGCTATGTATTCTGGAAGGCTCAGATTGGGAGGAAATTCAGCAGGAAATGCTTCCTTGACCTTGGTTCTGCGCTGGCCCTCCTCTTCAAGCTCTTGTGCCCTTTCCTGGCATCACATCATGTGGTGCTGAGCCATCCTGTAAACAGTGAGTGTGCCCTACAGAATACAAGCTTTCTACTCTCACAGCCATCGCGTTACACACACTTGGATGACTCCACATGATCACATAGGAAAATGCTCAGCGGGAGCTCTTGCTGGTTGCCTATTTTCGTCTTGCTGCATGCATTTAATTGATGAGTAATTTTCGTGATTCTTAGTTTGATTTTTAAAAGTTCAATGTGGGAAACTTTGGATTGTGGTGGTAAAACGTACTAATAGTTGTTTTTATGTTTACACAACAGGTTTTACCTCAACTTTATTACTGAAGAAGTAGAGAATCCTGAAAAGTAAGTAACCTTGTTTACTGTGAGATATTTTTGTTAGGCATGAAATTTGAATTTTCTAATTAAATTATAGACTTGAAGAAGAAAACCACTGTGGCCCACTTAACTTTGCTGTTGTTATTATTATTCTTTTAGGTAAATTGAGTTATGTTTTCACAATAAATTACTCCCACAGATATATATTATATAATATATATTATATGTTAATATTAATATATGTTAAATATATTATATATAACCATATATTATATTCAATAGTAAACTGCCTTATATCTGTATTTAGGAAAGAATGAAGTTATCTCTTGTGTAATCTATTTTACACAAACATATACGTATAACTTAACATGAACTCTTATTAAGTGCAGTTTGAACTGAAAAAGTTGATTATGTCTAGCAATACAGGTACTTTAAAAAATAACTACGTAAGCTGGGCGTGGCAGTACACATCTTTAGTCCCAATGCTCAGGGAGGCAGAGGCAGGTGGATCACTTTGAGTTTGAGGCCCAGCCTGAGTGAGTCCAGGTCAGCCAAGGCTACACAGTGAAACCCTGTCTTTTATTCAGCATAGGCCATCTCCTAATCATTGTGCTAGGAGCCTCTTTCAGGATGAACGGGGCTTATCATCAAGTTTTTCACTGTGTTCTCCGTGAATGAAGGTTACTGAAACAAATGTGTAATAGTGTGACTGGCACCACAAGCAGAGTGCTCAGCGAGCATGGAGAAAGTGAGACATTCTTAACTTCATCCTGAGACATGCTGCTCATCAAGAATAGCAAGGGAGTGTCCCTGGTATTCAGAGAGAGGGGGTGGGAGGGAGAGAGAGGACTCTGACATGTGAAAAAGCGAAAGTATAGAGGTGAGAAAGGGCACCATTGTGAAACAGGTTGGAGTCAGAGGGTTCACCTAAGGGTTACCAGTTCAAAATAAGAGGAACTAGCTAAGTATGGCCCTGGGTGTGCTGGGAGACTGATTGCAGGTGGCCAAGCATCAGAGTTTAGAACACACAAGCCAACAATGGAAGTCAACACGATTCCTCACAGTATTCCTCACAATATTCCTCACAATATTCCTCTGATTCAAGTGCTGTGTGAATCAATATGTAATTTCTACACAAAGAAAGCTGATTTATTAAGAAATATGACCAATTTATGAGAATATTTTCAGATTTTTAACTGGAATTAGAGGTAGAGAAAATATTTACCAGGAACTAATTCTTACATTTTTGGAATGATAATCAGGCTATCCAGTGACTGATAGCACATTGTTTATGGAGATCAATAGGTAGGCCTGTCTTTTGAGTTTTGTAGACTGTGTAGACACAAAGATAGCTTTGTAGACACAAAGATAGCTCATACTATATTTAAGGTAAAATATTTATTGGATTCCCATTATGTGAAACAAATAACTAGGATTTAGCATGGCATTTAAAGCAGAGACATTTTAAAGAGACCAATTGCTAAAAATCTAGTATAAGAGAATATTTATTATTAAAAATGGCAAATTATGGTTTATGCATGTGTTCTAGATCATAGCATCAGTGCTCTAGAAATGATTCACATTCTAGGTTAAGCTATTTAACAGTTTAGACAGATGTGCTTTTTAGACACATGTTGCATGTGTGTGTGTGTCTGTCTATGTCTCGTGTCTGTGTGTCTGTCTGTCTTTAAGTGCTTCATACTGTTACATGTTTCTGATGCATTGCCCTGGAGAGACTCTCAGGTTAAGAAGTCCCTTCTTTAACTCTATTTTACCTCTTAGTCTCAGACACTGTTTAAGCCCATGCTTCAGTGCTTACAGACAGTAGAGAAAGGTGATGGTGACACATCAATTCATTGCATTTGTTTTTCTACTGAAAAGATTTTTTTTTAATATGCTGCCCTTGCAGAGACTGAGGTTCTATTCCCAGCACCCCATCAGGTGGCTCACAATTGTCTTCAATCTAACTCTGAAGGATCCTATATATATTTGGCCTTTATAGATTACTGCACCCACACAAAGATACAAGCAAACACACAGTTTTCAAAGATTAAAACAAATCTGAATAGTAAAAATAATGATCTACATGTCTTACTGGATTGTGCTAAGGAGTTAATGTATATGTTTATGAATGAAGGCTATTTTTAAATCTCCACATAATTGTTGCATCCTCATTTTAAAGAAAAGCAAACTTCTACTCATTTAAAAGTGTTTTCTAGGTTTCAACATTTCATGCAATTATCTTTTCTCAGTTGCTTTTGAAAGGAGTATGAAAAATTAGTACGTTGTAGTGAATCCAGCTCCTGCAGTTTTCAGGGCTTTATAATATTTTTAAAATATTATAAAAGGCTTTATAATATTTAAAAACAAACTTAGGTCTCGAGAGATGGCTCAGCAGTTAATACCACTTGTTGCTCTTCCAGAGGACATGAGTAAGCTTCCCAACACCCTTATCAGGCAGCTCACAACCACCTTTAACTTCAGAATGGTGGCTCTCTCAGAGACCTGCTCATGCACACACTCAGGAATTCCACCACAGCACTAAACTGGGATCCATCATACATATGCAGAGAACCTGGTGCATGCTGCTTCAGTCTCTGTGAGTTCATATGAGCTTTGCTCATATTGATTTAGAGAGCCTTGTTTTCTTGGTGTCCTCAATCCCCTCTTGCTCTTATACTCATCCCACCTCATCTTCCATGGGATTTCCTGGGCTCTGAGGGAAGGGATTTGATGGAGACATCCCAGCTAAGACTGAGTGTCCTAAGGACTCTCACTCCATTGATAATGTCTGGCTGTGGGTCTCTATAAGTGTTCCAATTTGCTGTAGAAGAAAGCTTCACTGATGATAGCTGATAGGTGAAGGCGCTGCTCCATGAGTACAGCAGAGTGTCATGAGAAGTCATTTTAGCAGTACATTTTTTGTTTCCATTTTCATAGACAAATCTTTGTTTGGTTTTCTGCTATGTCCCTGGGCTAGCTAATCTCAGCTTCTTGGTCACCCAGCAGTTGTGTCTGGGCTCCATCTCATGGTGTTGGCCTTCAGTCAAATCAGTCATTGGCTGGTTACTCAAGCTTTGTGCCACCATTGTCCCAGTATATCTTACAAGTACTACACCATTATAGATAAACTGTTTATGGCTGGCTTGGTGTTTTCCTTTCTCTTTTTGAGAGTGCAGAGTACCTTCCTGTACTAAAGACGATGGAATGGAATGGTAAAGGATCTATGAAGGCACTGCTCTCACATCTCCATGTTCAATGAGTATGTAGGTGTTGTCTTCAGCAACGGAGCCTTAATATCCGTGTGGGGAGCAACCAGTAGTCATGGCAATAGTCTGGTTTGTTTGGGAATTCCTATAGGACCCCTTGGCCAACAACTCAATTAGGTATAACCCAACATGCTCTTAACTGCTATGAAATCTCTCTAGTCCCTTAACATTGCATTTTGCTTTAAGGTCTTAATATTTGGTCCTTGTGGAGCTCCTGTCCTCTCCAGGTCATACTAACTCCCCCTTCTTTCATATGATTCCCTGCCAAAGGTTTGGTTTGGTTATGAGTCTCAGCATCTGCTTTGATACACTGCTAGGGAGAGTCTTTCAGAGGCCTTCTGCAGTAGGCTCCTGTCCTGTTACTTGTTTTCTCCTACTTCCAAAGTCCATCCCATTTGTCTTTCTGAATGAGGATTGATCATTTTACCCAGAGTCCTCTTTCTTGCTTATCTTCTTTAGGTGTACAGATTTTAGTGTGCTTATCCTATCCTATAGGTCTGGTACACACTTATAAGTGAGTATACACTGCGCTTGTCTTTCTGCTCCTGGGATACCTCACTCGGGATGATCTTTTCTAGATCCCACCATTTGCCTGAAAATTTCATGATTTCCTTGTTTTTAATTGCTAAGTAAAAGTACCACAATTTGTGTATCCATTCCTTCATTGATGGATATCTGGGTTGTTTCCAGGTTATGGCTATTATGAATAAAGCTGCTACAAACATGGTTGAACAAATGTCCTTGTTGTGTACTTGGGCACAGGGGTCTTCTATGAGACTGTTTCTCCAACCTAGGACCATGTATGGATATAATCTAGAACACCAGCTCTAATGTAGCCCATGGTACCTCAGTATCCAAGTGGGGTCCCTAGTAAGGGGAACAAGGTCTATTTCTGACATGAACTCAATGGCTGCCTCTTTGACCTCTCCCCTGCTCCCCCGAGGGAGGAGCAGTCTTTCTAGGCCACAGAGGAGGATATAGCAGCCAGTCCTGAAGATACCTGATAAGCTAGGGTCAGATGGAAGTGGAGGAGGACCTCCCCTATCAGAGGACTTGGAAAGGGTCAGGGAGAAGGTGAGGGAGAGAGGGTGGTGTTGGGAGAGAAGGAAGGAAGGGGCTACGGCTGGGATACAAGGTAAATAACCTGTGATTAATATAAAAAATAAAAATTATAAAAAGGTCTTAATATATAGGATTTCTCAGTACAGGTTAAGAGTCTCCAGAACTTTGAAGTGAATATGAGATAAGTTGAAGAACAAAAGCATTGATCTCTTTTCTTCTTTCATGTGGGATAGTTAGTTAAGTCAGTTCTCATTTAGAGGACTCTGAAAAACTTAGCCAATACATTCATTTTTGCAAATTGAAAACATGACAAATCTACATAATTTCTGAAATAACACAGTGAAGGTTAATGTCGTGTTCTGTATTTATCAACCAAAGTAACTCCGAGTTTTGATCATTTTCATCAGTGTTAGCTTTTCAAATGACATCGTGTGACCATTTTAACAGCTAGAGGAGGTCTTTTCAAATTGCGTTTTATTTTTAGAACACAAGAATGATTTGGGAAATATTTGGCCCTAAGTATGAAGAACAGATGGCACTATTTTGTGGATCTAGTCCAAATGTGTACTTTGTATTATCTTATAGGTGGACTCAGGTTCCAAAACACCTTCCATTACCAGGGAGAGTAATTATGGTTGCATCTCCTTTGCGATGCGCCAAGATAAATGTGTTTTCTAATCAGTCACCGATGCATAT